GCTGTTAAGGGGTTTATTTGTTTTGTTCCCGAGAACCCTGTTGTCTTTACGCTTTTCTCAGACATGGGGAGATGAGTTGCATAATTTGATTTTATGCATGAGTAGGTTGCCCCAGTATCTACTAACATTGGGACCGATTTGCCTTCTATTTTAACATTGATCACTGGTTCTTTATTGGCGTTAGCTATTAAAATTGGTAGTTGCTCCTCCCCCCCAGGGCCCTCCGGGCATCCCTAGAATCCTTGTTGTGCTGCCCATGGATTAACTGGACCTCCTCTTCCCCGGTTTGGTCGTGTTCCACGACCACGCCCAGACCATTCAGGGTTTGGAATTGGATTCGGACAGTCTCGATACAGGTGACCCATCTGGCCACACCCCCAACATGAACCTGGAAGTGGGGGTCGGTTCTGCTGCACCCAGCCTTGTCGGGTTGGGTAGCGATTGGGGAAACGATTTGGAAATCGTCTCTGTGGTCCGGGCTGCTGTCTACCATACTGGTTTGGGTAGACATTGATAACCGGTTGAGATGGAGTTTGAGGCGGGGCCACAGCTGTCTGCAATGCTTGGGTTTGACTGTCACTCTTGCTGTCACTTTTCTCCACTGCCGCCTGGGTCTTCGCCTTGTGCTGGAGATCATTTATGTGCAACTGCGTGAGTTTTCTCTGAGCGCACTTTTCTTGCTCAATCATTTTGTTATTTTCTTTCCGATAGCGGTCCACTGCGTGGACTACATGGTCTCTGAACTGCACATGTGGCATTGAGTCCAGTCCCACAACATCCTCCAGTTTGTCTCGCACAGGAGTCGGGAGAGCAGAAATCAGGGATGTTCGGAACAGAGAAGTCATTATCGGCGTCCCCTCAGGACCCTCCTCCGTCTCCAGCTTCCACCGTCTGAGCTGCCTGTCAACAAATGACGCAGGACTCTCAGTCTCTGAAAGTGGCTCACCTTTCAAAGCTTTGGGGTCAATCCTGTTGGGATATGCTGCTCTTAGTATGTTCCAGAGTGCATTTCTGTATGTGTTAAACTCCGTGCCGTCAGCCATTGGGTCCAGCATCCATTGGACTCCATTGGATGCTAGCAATGTTCCCATAGCTGATGTCCCAACAACTCGAGCCAGAATAGCTTTGAGATCTCCAAGGGCAAGCATTAGCCCAGTTGTCTCCTGTTCGAAGGCCCCAATCCACCTTCCCGCGCCATCTTGAATGTGGGGCAGCCGTGAAACCAAACCAGTGAGGTCGAGGCTCTGCCAGGGAATATAATTAGCTCTTGTGCCCTTAATTAAAATTGGGTACTGACCATCATTAGTGTATCGAATAGGTGGTTTTAAGTCATGTCTGGGTCTCAGCTCACGGCTTTCACTGCTAGGACCTGGTTTTTCCTTCTCCTGAGTCAGACCTGTATTTGGGTCACCACGCTCTGGTGAGTGAATGCCTGGTTTGTAAAAAGGCTTGAAATTTTTCTCCTTGCTTGTGCTAGTGGTGTTCTCCCTAACCTCATCTGAATGTGTGCCTGTGATGTGATTTAAGGATTTCCGCAGGCCTTCAGATATGTCCTGTATAATTTGGTCAACATCGTTTAGCTCATCATGTACATCCTCATCCTTGTTCTCAAGGTCAATCCAGTATGAGTTAGCCTTCGGTTGCCTTTTCAAAAAATCCTTATGTTCTGCAAAACAATCAATCTCCCTTCGTCCTTCTTCCCTTACCGCTCGACGTTCTGTACTGCAATATTTTGGATGCGTTCCACGAGGTGGAGTTGTTTGTTCGAATTCTCTTTCCTCACTTCCTTTTGCATGCTTTTCTTTGCCAGGTGCTTCATCTGATTGCTGTGATGTTGTTAATTTTAAAATTGCATTGTCAACATCTAAGCCCTTAGGACCTTTGTCGAATGTGTCGCGCAAATCAAAATCTCCCGTAATTGTAACGGTTCCCAAAAGGGGATACAGGCCCTCTTCTGCTGGGGCCTTCACTTCCTTCTGGGGTTTGTCCAATTTGTCTTTCATTTTAAGAATGGCATGTTTAAAGTTCTGTCTGTAAATCTTTCCTTCATTCCTGAATAAGTCCAGGATCTGAATTTCTTTTTCTCTTTTCTGCTGTCTTTTCTTGGATCCATCTGCTTTATGATCCTGAATTCTCAATTCCAAATTATCACACGCCACTACGTCAAAAGTGCCTTCAGATGGCCACGGATTGCATAGTTTTCTCGTCCGTTTTGACCACTTCTCTGACATGTGCTTTATCTCTTTTGCTAAAGCCGGATTCTTCGCTGCCAAAATTCCTGCTGGCGTGACAGACATTTTGAAGTTTCAGTGACACTATTATTCCTTTGATTAGTTGACTAGTTTGTTTATTTATAATCTCCTGAAAATAACACAAGAATTGAAAGTTGAAACAGATACTGGTGACATATGATGCTGTGGTCTTGAGTAATCTGTTGTTGCTCTGTTTACACAAATGTTGAACAATTTATCTTCTTATTGTAAATGCCTTAAAATCAAATCTCTTCTGATGTAACACTAAAGTAAAGTTAGTTCAAAAAGCTTTAGTTATTGTTGAAAGAAAACTTAATGCCTGATGTATGTATTTCTCCAGCAGTTAAGCTGCAAGATGAGTTTGACTCAAATCTTCTGTCCTGCAGAGTCAGGCTTGTGTGACAGGCTAAAAATAGCCGTATCCTTGGTCCGAGCTGTGTGTGAGCAATGTTCAGCCCACAGGGTGGGGTTTCTCTACGCCCTCTGGCTCACCAACCTATCCACACACAGAGGTGGAGTCAGAGGCGGGATCGCCTCTGTACTTCTGTGTCTGTGCGTGTGTATGGAGAGGACAGCTTGTAGGTGGAGCTTTGCGCTTCTGGACTGGCCCCTCTGCTCAGTCTAAACTTAGGTCTGACAGCTCAGGGTGTCTACGGAGAAACGAACACGCTGACGACACCCAAGAGCATTCAGCCTTCAGATTTTAGCAACTCTCATACAGCTTTATAGCATCACAACACAGGAAAAAGTCAACCACAAGAGAGACCGAATCAGCAGAAGAAGAATCAGCTTCTCTCCAGTTCATCCAAGCAACAGCCCAAACAAGATCAGAGTATTTGACCTTTCACGAGTAAAACAACCACACACAGCAAAGCTTTCACACTTGCATAGAGATAAGAAAAACACACTTCAAAGCAATTTGACACCGAAGCATCATTTTATGCCACACACTCAACACGCATAAACATTATTATTTATTTATTAATCATAATCTATATTTCTCATATTTCACATTACCCAGCTGGTAAAAATAGTTATCATGCTTGTGCACTTCAGCATATATTTTTATTTATATATATGTCACTCTAAAACTAATTATTTTAACTTCTGGTTTTCTGTTTAAAGACTAATCAGAACAAGATCACAGACTTTGAAATTTGTATAACATTAAACATCAAAATTTGGCACTGCAGTGAACAATATTGATCTGTATTACTCCTTTGTTTTTCTTTTTTCCTCTAATTCTCTGGCGCCTGACACACCTTCTCAACTCACGCACCCACTTCTCAACTCGCACACACTCTTATCTCCTCCACACACACACGCTTATCTCACACGCCTGTCCCACCCACAAAACTTCTCTCACAAACACACTCACACAAACAAACAATTTCTGAGCTCTAGAGTTGTTTACAGCCACTTTGCTGCAAACTCTGACGTCAAACATATCTTTGCCAAAAACTCATGAAATTTACCAATCCCCGAGGATTCAACCGAATTACTGGCAAGCTTATCTGTCACAACTTCAGCGCTTTTTCTCAGATCCCAGTCGTTGCCCGGCTTCACCGAGGCACCCTACTGGATCTCAATTGTCGACCTCGTTCACTTGTCCTCACTGGACTTTAATCAGCTGTCAAATTCTATTCCAATTCTCGCTGTCCCAGCTTTTAATTTGTCACAAACTTTGTCCGTCATCAAAATGACTCAGCTGACTTCACACATGTGTGAATAATTTCACCGCTGCTCTGGACAAGCGCCTCTTCTTGTTATTATAACTTCTAATTTATGAGAAGGGCATGTTTTTTTTTTTTTTTTTCTCTCAGACCAGTTCTCAGTCCACGGAATAACTCCAAAATTGAACAAAAACTGTTCTTACCTAGGGCCCAGAAGTTTAAATTCCGTGGGCTGCGAAACGATCCGAAGAGCACACCTCTTCTCCACCTTCGTGGTCGCCAAATGTGGTTCTTTTTCCTTATCAAAAACAAGAAAGAGACAGGTTTTGTCCAAACTCAGCGGGGGGCATTTATTTACACAACTCATCCATACATCACCAACACTTCACAGGGGACAGCGTCCAGCTTCGATCTAAACACCTCGGCTGGAGATCCTTCTGCAAAAGCCCACTCTCCTACACCACGCAGCATCAGTTATACTATTCAACCCCCACCTCCCTTTTGATTCTGAGAAATGATGGGGTGCTACTTCCACATCCTAATATGGTCAAAAGTAGTTGAAACTTACATAAGCTGGGCAGATCAACATGTTTTTGGAGCATGTACTCAGCAGCTGGGCTGCCTGATAACCGGCTGGCATTGATGAGCAACATGTCAACATGCACGTACACAAAACACTGCTTTTAGCTCCTACACATTCAAGACAAATGTGCTGTAATTTTTCTTTATGTCTTTATGTATGAGATGTTTCCATTTATAGTTTCTAAAACACCTTTTTAGAGTCGGGTGGCCTGGTCTCTCAAAGGTGTGCTGATACTGATTTAAACTCAGATGATCACAAACACCAAGTCCAGCTGGGTTTAACCGAGTAGAGCTCAGCAGCATCACCTGATGGAAGCAGCTCTCCTCTGTTCCAGATCAGATATCATAAAACCTCCATCATGTTACCTGAGAAGAAAATCTTTTAATCAGTGGGATTCTGACCTGTTGTCATGGTTATACCTTTGTTGTGCTCTCTCGCCTCTCCAGTCTGTTAAAGAACATGTTCTAATGTTCTCTCTGCTCTTGCGTGCAGGTGCAGTCTGGTGCAGATGGAGGTCGCAGGATGGCCGTCACCTTCAGAGCTGACAGTGAGTCTTACCATAACCATCAGGAAACAAGCACACCCCGCTAGCTGGCTGCAGTGTATGTTTTGAGCCATGCTCCCTCTATCCAAGTAGGGAGCCCAATTCTCCTCCTCTTCCCGTCCGCTCATGGGTCCACAGAAGAACAAAAAGTGAATGCAAGTCAACGGGGCTGAAAGAGCTTTTTTCTAATCCGCTTTGCCTTAAGCCGGGCGTACACTGTGCGACTTTTTCACTCGCAGCGTTCAGCTTCAGCTCAAACTGTACGACTTCCTCGCAGAGCAGATCTCACGAGTCGTGTGCTCACACTGTACGACCCAGTTCTCGCATGCGACCTGACTGCTCACACTGTACGTCTGGTAGCAACACGTCGGCCCTAAAAATGTGCTAAAAATAGCAGTTTTTACACAACACGTTAGACTTTTTTGTTTTGCCTGTTGTCCTTCGGGAGTGCTGCAGGAGGACACACAGGGTTTTATGGGGGTTGGATGAGGAAAACGAAATAAAGAAAGTGAATCTGTGTTTTGTGATCAGTTTAATTTGACATGAACACGACAAACACGCTTTCTTGACAATCTTTGTGAGTAAAAAAAAACGTGTAGAAACAAAAACGAACAGCGTGTGTTATTAGGGAAATAGCGAGCGACCGGCCGGCGTTGATGCAGGATTGCGCGCGCATGCGCCGTGAGCGGTTCTGATACTTTTTGGATCGTAGCTGCTCGCAGCTGCTCGCAGCGCCGCTTCAACAGTGCGATACCCTCACGAGGGACGAGCGAAATATTAAACACACCAGAAGTCCCTGCGACCTCACGACTGCTGATCGGCGGCTGGTCACGTGGTGTTAATCGCCTCTCGTAACCCCCTGTACACTACACGACCGCTCGGCGCAAAACTCGCCCCGATGTCGTGGCTTCTCGCACGACTGGAAAATCGGCTCAAAAAAGTGAAAAAGTCGCACAGTGTACGCCCGGCTTTACACCCTGGATCACACATATGTTGTACTGCATTTTTAATGAAAACTAATGATGGGTGTTTTGACCACGTCAGTCACGTACTTTGAAATTCATCAGCTTGTAAAAGTTTGTAATTAGCATGACTGCATCAGCATGTCGCATATTTAACGTCACCACAGAATCTCCTCTCCCCTAGCGTAGCTGCTACTTACCACATGGCCAGATTTATGGTGGTTCTTTCCTCCTGAAGGAAGGATTTGAAGTTCGCTGAACTTACAGCCCTTTTCCCATAGTTTTCTCCGTGTCTGGTTCGATGACGTCACTTTGGTGATGCACATTTGTAGTCCTGGACTTATTTTCGCACAAAACCTAAAATAACATTCAAAAATATGCACTTTCCTGGTATCAAAATGCGTCTTTAAAATTCACGGACATCGTATGTGAAATCCATGGAACATAACAAGCGGAATTAGAAAACAACATTTTTAGCCTCATTGATTTGCATTCATTTTTCCGTTCTTTCAGGAACCCATAGTCCAGAAGTATGGGCGTGAGTTAGGCGCCCTATAGGATGATGTCCCGAATGAAAACATATAAATGACATCCCAGATCTTTAATGACTCCAAAACATTCAACATGGCAGTTCCTATGAACAGGATCTTTTGGTTTGACAGAATCAAATTCCCTCTAAGACAGCTGCACTGGTTAGACCTTTAAGACAATTCTAAGGTTTGAGCGTAAAATTAAAAAAAATTCTTTCTGCTTGACCAGGGTCAAACCCTATAAACCCCTCACCTTGTTTCTGCCTCTCACATGTCACCCTCTTCCTCTTCCCCATCCTCTTCCTCCTCCTCTTTCTCCTCTTTTGTTCTTCCCATGCTTAAAGTCAAGTTCCTGAGCCGTGGCCAATCCCTGCCTTCTGCTTTTGTCCGTGACCATGAGCGAGGAAGCACTTTAAAATCCTTCTTTGTGTGTCTCTGCATGCAGCACCCTGTGTGTGTGTGTGTGTGTGTGTGTGTGTGTTTTGGTAAATCCCTGAACCAAAATGTCATATAGCTATTCTAAGATACTTTTATGCAAAGAAATCAAAGTTTGCATTCAGATTACTGACTATTATTCTATTTTTTTATTATTTGTTTAATTCTTAATCCAATTTTTAGTGTTTTTTCGAGCGATGATTAAACACAAAGAAAACCAGCCCAATTATTTTTATGCACTTATTTATTTACCTGCCTTTCTCTGGTGTTTATATTAAGCTAATGTTACCAAATTTGTCTCCATGATGGATGATTTATCCTCAATTTGCTCTTTTAAAAGCCAAATTGCATCACCAGTCAATGAGCAGCTATTCTCTCCTGTCTTCTTTTCTCTGTGGAAAATGTTTTATTTAATCCTAATGAACTTTCTGTCAGGATACGGGGGTCAGGAGGTCACATGGCTTTGAATTGTTGATGCTGCTGCAGCAGAAATAAAAACGTAAAGTAAAGCAGTGGAGCTTGAGGTGCGACACACCTCAGTGGTTCTTCTCCTCCAGCTGGACGGGGAAACTTGGATTTGGGCTCCTTTTCTGTGTTCGGTGATCTCATCGAGAGCATAAAGCGAAGAGACCTTTGACCTCCTGGTTATTAATGACAGGCAGTTAGAATAAAATCCACAAAAGAAAGACCCGGCCATTGATATTTCCATAGCATTTTTAGTTGACAAAATTATTCAAAAAGCTCTATATTTATTAAGAATATTAAACACTATTGGATGATAGATAATCCACCTTTGAAGACTTCATTTTACTGCTGTTTCAACATTACTATTTAAAGACAAAATCAGCTTGTTTCATTAATTAACCACACATGTTATTTCTGTTTCATAAACCTCTATTATGATCTAGCTCTACAGGTTTTAGATGAAATTTTATTCACAATCTTCCATGAACTCCACCTGCAACATTCACAGTGACAAATGTTTAAATAAATCAGGAGTCATGGTCTGGTTGAACGGTACCCCCCTTCAATAAATTAATTTCATGTGATGTAGAGTCTTCCACATCTTTCTCCTTTTCCGATTCAGGGAAACAGAAAACTTCCTAAAAACCCTGAAGATTTACAACTAACGAGCTTTTTCATCCTTCTTCAACCTGCCCGCTTTTCTCTGAAGAAAACGATTAAATATAGAGAAAGAGGAGTGACAAATTTCCTTCCCTTTTTATTAAATTCAATGGAAGATGCAGGAGGAGGAAGAGGAGCATCCAGCTGTGACCTTCTCCTCCAGCCCTGAACGTGACCCAGCCATGAGGTGGATGAGGAGCGAAGAACAGGAGCAGTGACTCGTGTCGAGTCCCAGGCTCTTCCAAATTTTTCTCCATCATCACCAAACCATCTTCCTCCTCTTCATCTTCATCATCATCATCACCTCCATCAATAGGTGGTTGGCAGGAGAGAAGGGGAGCAGTCAGTCATGCCTAAGCTCACGCCTCCTTTTTTCTGGATCCAGAGTCCAGCTTTTCTCCTCACATCCTCCTCACTTCATGGCTGGCTGCTCCTCATCCTCTTCATCTTTGTCTTTTAAAAGTTAAAACAAGACAAGTGTTGGATGGGGGATCTGTGGCTGATTTAATTATAGCTTCCTTTCATAAATGTGTAGAGTGGCTGGAAATTTGTGGATCTAATCAGAATACTCAATGCAAGGCTATTTTTGTTAAAAAAATTTAATTTGAAAGAAAAAGTTCTTTCATTTGGACAAAAAGTAAAGTGGAATCGAATCTTGTCTGAATTTGCATTCACTTTTATTACCAGAAATGGAGCAGAGTGGAGTCGGTGGTAAATGAAAAATAAATTACGAACAACAAAATTAGACGCTTAAAAAACAATTTTATGAAGGCCAAGTTCACTCAGAAACAGATTTTTAATTGTTATTTTAAAAATATGATAATCACTCTGGTTTTAAAGTTAACATCCCACTAGCCGTCACACTGTTGACATTATATGTCTGTATTTGACCCATCCCCATGGGAAGCGGGGAGCTGCAGCTTTGGCTGCACTCAGGAACTATTTGATGTAGTGATGTGTTGGTTGCGAACGAACCGGCTCTAAGAGCCGGCTCTTTGAAGTGAACGACGAGAGACGGCTCGTCATTGGGAGCCGTCCCCTCCCCCCTCCCCTTTTGCTTTGGTAAAAGCCACAGGCGTTTGGTCAGCATGTGTAACTGCGTGTCCAGACTGTCCACACACAGAGCAGTAGGGGCGGGGAGGAGGGAGGATAAGACTCAGACACACAGCAGAGCACATGCGGGCGGAGGGAGACGAGAGGGAATGAGGAGGAGGAAAAAGGCGAGCGAGAGAGAGGAGAGTGCGACGAAGACGGTGAGAAAATGAGCGCCAGCAGTCAGAAAGTGGAGATTTCTGAAAGTGTTCAGTTATTAAATCCATAGAAATGATAAATATTTGATATATAGCATTTTTTTACATTAGTAAATCATTTTACACATAGTTTTGCATTATTTTGGTTATAAATGTACTTTATGCGACAGAAAATCTGAGGAGCCACTTGGGAGCCGAAAGAGCCGGCTCTTTTTGGTGAGCTGAGCCAAAAGAACCAGCTCTCTAAAAAGAGCCAGAATTCCCATCACTAATTTGATGCCCCCCCCCCCCCCCCCCCCCCCCCCCCCATCACACCCCTTAAAGCTTAGTGTCAAACAGGGAGCCATTGGATCCCGATGTTAAAGTCTTTGGTATGACCCGACAGTCTATTTCAGCCCTGAACTCCCAGTCCCAGGGACGACACTCTTACCACTAGGCTGCGGAGAAGGTAAATGTGAAAATAGTCTCTTACACCTATCTTCTGCTTTAGCTTCTTATAGAAAATAAATGGTGAATCTCTGGATTAGAAAATCCTGACAGATCTACGTCACACTGTCAATTACCATTCATGGACTCACCCATCTTGACCGGTGACGAGGAAGGCTGTTGTTGGTTCAGCGTCTCGGCTAGTTGAAACTGTTAGCATTAGCAACTCCACCACACAGCAGAACTCCTCCAGGCTCGTGTTATTTTTGGAGTTAAAACAGCAGTGTTGCACAGCAGACAGTCAGTGGTAGAGTCGTGTTGCTGTTAGCAATCAGAAGAGAGAATCGGATATCATGATTAAGACTCCACATCCTGCCCTCATCCTGCCCTCTCCTCTGGCTCATTTCTACTTCCCGAAACAGGAGTGCCAGAGCTCTTTTACCCACAAAGATTGACTCACAAGGCATTCACTTGTACTAGAGACCATTGCAGTTGTGTTGAAAAATCAAGCCCTTGATCTTAAATGAGTATGAGTCCTAAAATAGAGCCTATCCCAAAAGAGTTCTGCTGGGAGAAAAGGCTCATCTTGCCAGAAAACTGTGATATTATAAGAAAAGAAACATGAGCAAACTTTAAATAACTTACAAACCTCCTCCACCCTAACCAACAAACCCATCCCAACTCCTCCCAAACCAGTTGGCTCAAGCACAACCAGCCAACATAGCTCAACCAACCAGTAAACATATTATCTCAATAAACAGCCAACTACCAACCATCTGAGCTAGAACTAACCTATAAACCCTCCATTCTAACCAAAACCACCATAATTTGTCATAGTACCTAAGAAAGCCATAAGAATATACTGATAATTTCTTCATTCAATCAAATAATTTGAAATTAAGGGACTTTGTCAATTTGAACATTTTATTAGTTATATTTTGTTTACATTAGTTATAAACAATAAATAAATAAATACGAAGGAAAAAATGATCGATTCCTATGTATTTCTGAGTTCTGCAAGTTAACAGCCATGAAATTAGAACAGTATAAGTGTGGTTGATCTCAGATCGTCAGCTTTATGTTTCTAATCAGTGTTTCTTCAAACCGGGAGTGGACACGTATGAGAACCTGTCGCTGAACAACAACCCAGTCACAGCCTCCTGGAGTGGAACACAAACCAGTGCCCAGGGTGGTCACAGAAAACTATGAATATAACCTTTAAAAAAGAGTAAAATAAATACCACAGATGCTGACCGCCTTGGATGTTAGTTATCTCCTCTCTTGGGAAGCTCCCACCCAGAGGCTTGAATCTTAGAGGCTGTTTACACAATACCACCTTAAACACCCCCCCCCCCCCCCCCCCCCCCCACAAAAGACCTGGTATCATTACAGATTTCATAAACGCTAAGGAAAACTCAATGATGGACACCTGACCTTTTGATGCTGTGTAGATATTTTCTTACACAGCCTTTTGTACTAATAAATCACCAGAGAGTTTCATGTGCAGCTCTCATTTCTTCTGCATTGTTTTGAAAATACTTTTTATATTTTCCACCTGCAACAAATCTCCACCTCGGCCACCAAAGTGATGAAAAAGAAGCTTTTTGTTCTGACAATTGCAGCGGTGTTTTAGGATCAGTGAAAGTGTCGAAATGCTGCTGCCGTCTGTAACTGAACCAGGATCAGGAAGCTCCATCGGTTTCTGTAAACTGTTTTGAGCTTTGCTGTCTGTTGTCAAAGTTTCTTGCTGCTCATCTTTCGCTTCGTGTCTTTGCAGATTGTTCCTTAAACTATCCGCTAGGGAAACACATCATCCACGGGGTCTCCAACATCTCCTTCAGCCATCTGGCCTGTGAGGATCAGGCCGCTGTGGTCGTCCACTGGTCTGCAAGTCCCCTTGGTACAGCCTGTCCGCTCACCTGTCTTGTTACCTGTCCGGGTGTCTTGTCTGTTTACCTGAAGTGGATTTGGAGGTAAAGGAGGGAAAGTTGAGAGAGGGGAAAAGGGAGACGGTAAACCCCTCAGAGAGCTAAAATTACCCTTTGATCAGACCCGGAGCTGGAGAGAAACAGGATCACATCTCACACAACAATACCTCGATTTGACTGTGAAGGAGTGTGTGTGTGCGTGCATGTGTGTGTGTGTGTGTGTGTGTGCGTGCGTGTGTGTGTGCGCGTGCGTGCGTGCGTGTGTGTGTGGTAGGGTAAAGCCCTCCCCCTTTCTCTCTGTAACAAAACTGGCTGTTGTTTTCTGGCGGAGGCAGAAATCTTCTAGAAAATGTCGATGTCACCCTCGCACACGAACAGGAGCCCTTTGGGAGGAACCAAATATCCCAAACATACTGTTTTTGTTTGCATGATCACTAATTCCATTATCAGATTGTTGAGTTGAACAATGCTTCTTGTGGCCACTTTTACCCCGGCCTGAATTCTTTTGAAATATTCTCGATTTAAATTAAAATCTATGTTTTTTTGTCCACATCTTTGTGTGCTGGTATCTGGTTATCTGAGTTCCAAATCGATAAATAACTCTTTTCCAGTGTTTAAGCTTCTGTCTGACTTGAACATTTAAAACTGCCTCTGTAGTGGAATCACTGCATACAGCTGCTGCTGACATCTCTAACATTATCATGGAAACTCGGGTGCCCTCTGCAGGAGTCATCTTCTGAGCACGTTAATAAAATGATGAGACTTTATGAAAAGTAGAGAAACTCGTAGACATCTACTGAGTGGTGGCACACTTGATGTTCCTCCAGCAGCTAAAATGCAAATAATCTTTGTGCCTGAGAGAGAAACAGAAACACGCTCAGAAATCTGCCTGAAGACAGGAAAACCTGTTCTTTCACTCTCTGTCAGAGCTAATAGGAAAAACATGTCCGGTGTATCTGAAGGTGTAATTACAAAACAGATGTGTTTTCAAAGAGGAGGAGGAGGAGAATAAGCAGGGAAGGAGAGAGGAGGAGTAAATGAGTAATGGGAGGGATGAGAAGGACAGGAAATAAGATCCGATCATCTGTTCCTAAATGCTTTAACTCATTTGAAAACAACTTGAGGTTAGAAAAGGTGTTTAGAAAAATTTACTTGTATTAGCTTAAAATTATGTAAAAAAGAACCAAGTCATCGAGTCACTGATGGTTTATTTATTTCATTGACTGAAAGTTGAAAAGTTTTAGAGCAATGAACATCAAGTGGCGGCCCGCGGGCCACACCCGGACCACCAGACCTTTCCACCCAGCCCCCAATATTACTGAATCACGAAAAGAGAAAATGCATGTTCTACCTTTTTCTTTATCAACTTAAACACACTGAAAAACAAACTTTAATCACAAATGACTACAAACTCCGTTGCTGCAGGTCTTAGAATCTCCCTTTTGTGCTTCTTACTATAATAGTGCAGAACTGTCTCGACTAAAACAGCTCACGGGAAGAAAGCAACACATGTACAAGTAAACAATACGTGCAGGTTAGTAGGCAGAGCAATTAAGGGAGGAAACAAGCTGAATAAGTAAAATGGGGTTACATAAAGCGCTCCATTAGAGAAAAATAACTAAAACTCAAGCACTTTTTGGCACACAGTATGCTTGAAATGCCAGTCAAAAGTGCAAATAAGAAGCCTAATATGTTGCTTACGCCCCCTAGTGGCTTGGGTTAATAACAGTGTCTGTTGGAAGAAACTGACCCTTGAACAAATCCAGTTGAAGACCCTTGTATTTAACTCAAATTTGTCAGATTTATTTGAACTTGCTAACTTTAAACATTAGACAGATAAAACTCCGAAGGAGTGCAGGAGGAAAAAAGGATCAAAGAGACGATGAGGGAAAGAGATAGGGTCTGACTAGGGAGGAGGAGGATAGGAAAAGGTGGATGCCGCTGAACTTCCTGTTCTGTCTCTGCAGGGATTGAGCATATTAAAGGTTTCCGTGTTTACCTGGAGGACAAAAATCCAGAAGGTAAACAGTGTCAACACCTGATCCTCAAAGACCCCCGACAGCTCAACTACTCCTACAGGAACACGGTGAGGCCAAAAAGCTTCTAGGAACAATAAAGCAAAACAATGAGCTGACAAATAACATCTATGAATGATTGTGACCTCACACAGAAGCTGAGCAGTCAGCCGTTCAGTGGTTTGACCTTTGACACCGACTACCTGGTTCGCGTCGTTCCTTTTCCATCTCTGATGAACGAAAGTTTCTTCTCCCCGTCCTTCCTCAGGACCAACTGTGAGTTGGATTCTACTTTTCTCATTTTTTAAGTTTCTGAATCAGAAAGTTTGAAACTGAACATTTTCGTGTCGGTTTCCTCCTCCAGCGTGTGAAGTTCTCCTCGGATCAGAACACCTGGTCTGTAAACCATGTAAGTTCCTCCATGGTGTCGTCATGAGCAGAGCCACATGTGGGGTGAACATCTGGATGCTTTTATCTGGTTTACGCTGGTTTTTTGTTTTGTTTTGTTTTTTACATCAGAACCATAAAACTTCCTGGAAGTGAAAGTAAACAGACATGTAAACAACATAACTCAGATTCAGAAACCTTTCTTGACTTAATTAGAATTATTGTTTAATAGAATCGGCGCCCGTCGGCACACGTCCACTGGATTTGGTCTTTAAGTTTGTCTCTGTGTCTCCAGTCTGGAAGCCAAAGAGTCTGAACGTTTCTCAGATCGGATCAAACCTTCATGTAGCCTTTGACCAGGCTCCGCCCACCTTCAGCTTCCACTTCTACTACCTGTACTACAGACTGAAGCAGGACGGTGTCTTCAGACAGCAGCGCTGCAAACCGGTGAGAAATTTCTGTCCAACGTCCAATCACATCAATTGTCTCTTCCCTTTTAAAGTCACGAAGGTGGGGTGAGCTGCATTTTATTACCTCCTCCTCCTCCTGGCTGCGTCCTCTTTGATGTCCCTCCAACAGCTTTGGCTTTTCATGTCTTTGTGTCCTCCCATCCATGAGTCATGCACACGAGGGACAACGCTGCACGTTCTTACACTGAGCACCACTTGTTCAAAGACATTTTTTACGTTTCTCCTTCAGGACAAACAGTTTTGAGATGTCAAACACAACATTTTGATTTCAGCCTCAAAAGGTGTAATGGCGAAGGCTTCGGTTTGAGTTCAAAAAGGACAGGAGAAGACTATCGTCTCCAACTAGACTCTTGTTCTTAAAATTAAAAAGCATTGTTTTCAGTCTTTTGTCATTTGCAGGATATCAACCAGGTCAGGATGACATGCATCATCCAGGACGTAACTCCAGGAACCTATGTCATTGAGGTACATAAACGAGTGGGTTCCACTAGGTTCTACTTTGTACTATCCAGATGTTGAAATGCAAAACAAATCATAGTTAGCGTTTAACAAAACACTGATTTTACTTTATTGTCTTGTTTTTAGCTGAAAGATGACAGCAACACCACAAGAAGGCAAACCCAGTTCCATGTCAGTCAGGGTGAGATGATTTAAATGATGATGTCATCCTTTACAGCTGCTTAAGGAGGTATTTCTATTAAATATGTTTAAAGAGTCCAAAAAGAGTTACTCTAAAATGATAAATCATTATATTTTTACTGGACAGCATCAGAACAACGTGGAAAATTATTTCAATATTCTCAGGTTTTATTAATTGGATGTTTTACTGGTAGTCTCATCAGACTTTTGTAAAAAATCTCTTTTTAATGAGAATTGAAAATTGTCAATCACATGAAATATTTATTTCTAATACAAGATACTTGCTTATTGTATGGCTCTATAGCAAACTTTACATAAATAATACTGTTTTAAAGCTGTTAAGAATGTCTCAGCAGTTTCTTTTATTCAATCTTTAAAAATCCAGACCAAATCCCTTAAGAATATTTGTTGTTGCAAACTTTTATATTTAAAAAAAAACTGCCGATTATTATCAGTTTTCTCACGCTGGGTGTGTTTGTTTCCTCCATCAGTCCACTCCCAGTGGGCAGGGCCTATCCGTGCTATGGCCATCACAGTGCCTATGGTCATCATGTCAGCCTTCGCTACCCTCTTCACTGTGATGTGTCGAAAGAAGCAGCAAGGTGGGTAAAACAGCAGAACATGGAGCTTCAATCAAAATGGGATTTTTGTCTCTAAAATCTGCTTGTGTCAAATATTTTTCTTTTACCTACTGTTAGAAAACATCTACAGCCAGCTGGATGAGGAGAGCAGCGAGTCGTCCAATCAGAGTGCGGCTCTGAACAGCGAGCGGCCGTGGCCCCGTCCTAAAGTATTCATCTGTTACTCCAGCAGAGATTGTTCCAAACACACCAGCGTCATCCAGAGCTTCGCCTATTTCCTGCAGGACTTCTGCGGCTGCGAGGTCAGTCTGTGATGTCATCATGTCGTCATATTTATCGCTGAGTTGTTAAACGCTTGTTTGACCATGCTCAGGTTGTGCTGGACTTGTGGGAACACCTGGAGATGTGTAAGGAGGGTCAGATGTCATGGCTTAGCCGACAGCTGGACGAAGCAAACCTCATCATCGTCGTCTGCTCTAAAGGCCTGCGGTAAATAATGTCTAAAATAATAAACTATGTTATTTATAAGGAAATTAAAAGACACTAAGGCTTGTGAGTTCAAACACCCTCAGGTTCAGTTCCACCTGTAGCCACTAGATGGTAATAAAACTCCTGCTGAGTTTTGTTCTAAATAGTTTCTCTCGTTTCAAATTTTACTCCTCTACTCTTCCATCACCCTTTCATCTGCTCCCTCTTGGCTTCCAGGTCTTCCTTTCTTTTGAAAACATTTGATCTGTAATTTTTTAACATTCTTGTAGACCTTTAATCTTTGGTATCTTTTCAAAACATCTCATTTGTTCTGCAGATACTATGTGGAGAAGAAGAGTCGTAGGGGAAAGACGCCAGTCAGTCGCCGTGGTAACAGCAGCAGCAGCAGCAGCTCTCCAACAGGTGGATCTAATGGTGACCTGTTCATAGTGGCTGTGGCCATGATCGCAGAGAAGCTGCGTCTGGCGAAGCAGAGTGAAGGAGGCGGGGACCAGGAGCTGAGCCGCTACATGGCGGTCTACTTTGATTACTCGACAGAAAACGACATTCCCACCATGCTGAGTCTGGCTCCTAGGTAGGTGCGCCCCCGACAGCAGCAGACCACATGGTAGTAACCAGCACACGGTGGCTTCAAAACTCTTTACTCCCGTGGTTTAGGTTTAAGTTGATGGACCAGTTGCCTCAGCTCTACACTCGGCTCCATTCATGTCAGTCCGGTTTGGTGGATCAGGAGCAGCATCCCATCAACGTCTCAAGGAGGAACTACTTCAGGAGCAAATCTGGACGTTCGCTCTACGTTTCCATCTGCAACATGCACCAGCACATCAGCCAGAATCCAGACTGGTTCGAAAAGCAGCTTTCTCCTGCAGGGCCCTCTGAGTTCTCCGGAAAACCAGCTCCTCCTCCTGTCCCAGTTCCAAACCCCCATCTCAAGTCTTCCTGCTGCTCTGCACCTCAGTCCGGGCAGAGGTTTGACTCTGGTTTGGTCCTGAACGATGTGCTGGAGAGGACCCCGTCGTTGGATGGGGTAGACGTAGTCTCGAGGAGGAATGTGCTCCTGCTGGCGCCTGGTTCCGATTGCAGTCCTGCTTCCTGTCCCAGTCCTGGTCTTTGTCCCAGTCCAGACCTGCCACCAAAGTCCACTTCAAGGTAAGACTATCTTAAAAGCTGAATTTTTTACTTCTGGTTTGTGTTTTAGGTGTTTAAAAGTTTATTATGATGCCACTAATTCATTCTTCACATTTTCAGATCCACCACTGGAACATCTGGAGTTTTACCTGAAGACTCTTGCTCCTCCTCCCCCTCATCAGCTCCCCCCATCCTCCAGAAGGAGGTGTGTCCAGTCTCCAGCCAAGCAGAAGAGGAGCATCCTTCAGCTCCAGAGCTCCCTCCTCCTCGGGATTCTGGGATATATGATTCATCCGTCCCATCATCAGAGCTTTCCATTCCACTAATGGAGGGACTGTCGCATGACCAGGTGGACACCGCCTCCCTGGCAGACAGCGAGTCATCTTCGTCTGGGTTAGGTAAAGCTACAACACCTGACATAGTTTATTATTTATTACTAACACTTTTATCCAAATGAACAACTAAATGTGTCGCTCACACTGAGTTGCACGTGTTTCAGGTGATGAGGAGCCGCCCACTGTCACGTTGCTCCGCTGCAGCACTGTTTGCAAAGCGGAGCTGCATCATCAGCTGGACTGCAGTGACACACACGCATCATCATTGTAGGAGATGCTTGCAGCCATTCAGGTGATGGACAGGTCATGTGATGCCAACAGAAGACCATAAAAGTACCAGCCGGTGCTGTCATTGTCATGGAAACACAACCAAAAGACGTTAAAGGCATTATCATTATCATTTTAATCACTGATTCTGGGTCTGCATTGCCATGGTAACGATTGTGCCTGACAACAAGGGTAATCCCCCTAATCATTTGCTGTTGAACTGTGCATGCTTCCTGATGAGCACAGAGATAATGAAACATGCCCTGGATGTTTATGTAACCATGGTAACCACTGAACACCACTCACAGATAACCATGGTACGGGCAGCATCCTGGAACCCTTGTTTCTGGGAATGATATGGCCATGTTGGCTCTGCTTGGAGCATTTTACACTCAATGTGACCAGAGTAGAAAGACCAGACCAAAGATTGCTTCATGTGAGACTTCAGCACCAAAGCAGGATGCAGAGTCCAGCTGTCGGTTCGTGCACTTTCAGATGCAGCAATGCAAGACATGAAGAACCGTGTTCGGTATCTGAAACTAACCTGAGCAGATTAATAACTCAAAGGCTTTTATTTTGTAACAACAGGATGTCTTTTTAAATGTTTTTTTGTCAACAATTTGAACTAAACCTAGTTAAAACACTTGTTATTCCGGCCACTTTTATACTAAATATATATTTTTATACATAACAGGAAAAACCTTTGTCAGGATGAAATCGCCTTAGGTCACGTTACGTTTTATTGATACTGACAGAAAATGTCATCAGTCACATCTTTAACATCTTACTTACAACAGAATCTTTTACCATAAATCTGAGAAACCTGATAATGTGATACAACATGATGGAAAAGTGTAATTTTTGTGGATAGAAATAATTTTTTTAAATAATTTTCAGCCTTTTTATTCAAGAATCCCTTTTTTAATATCAACGTGTGTAACTGATAGGGTCACACCCACGATATGCTTGCATTACGTGTTTCTAAATGTTTTAGAAAATGGCAGGAAGCAGAAGAAATAAGGGCATTTTATTAAACATTTCTTTCAGAAGTGTGAAGTTTCAATCGCAAGAAGATATTCTAAATTTAAAGATTCACTTTTCAGACTAAACTTCAGAGATGCTTTAATTTTTTCATTTGAATCATGTTCTTTATTCTAGTGGCAGAAACCAGCTTGAAATCCCAGTTTTATGGCTTTCAGTTATTAGTCATCAGCTGCAATTTATTTTGTCATACTGAACAAAAACGTCAAGTTATGCTATTTAAAGTATTTACGCTATTTTTCTGACTGTTTCTGTGTGTTGACTGAAGATCTAACAGGGCCTATTTGTAAATATTTTTTTGAACATCCCAGATCAGAAATATTTCATTTTGTATAGTTAGATTGTTATTTTAGTCATTTTCATGGAAATGTAATGTTTTATTGCACCACAATAAATCTGTTTCAGAAGACACGTTTGTTTTTTGAGACACTGAAAGAAGAAAGTAGTTTTTAAATTTTGTTTATTCAAAGATTGAAGGTGACCCGATGAGTGATGATTTCTAAAGAGATGAACAGAAAACCTGTCTTAGCTGTAAATTTTCCATCGCCTGCTTCAGGTTGACTAACTGGTTTGGGTTTGGGAATGTCTGAACTCTTATCTTGGCTGACATAAAAGCAGCAGACAGCCCTACAGTGCCTGAGCTGCCAGGCGTCAACGCTTAAAACAACAAAATCCGCCAAAACTCAAAAAGCTGAAAAGTCATCCAGCCCGGAAATGACCAGCCTTCAAAATAAAAGCACAAACATCTGTGACGGAACAGTTAAAAAACAATGTTTGGAATGGTAAAGTTGTGGTGCAAAAAGGCTGAATAATTTGTTCCTCCATTTTCAAGAAACTTTAAAAAAGGATGGCGCTAGTTTGTTTGTAATGTCTTTTTTTGTTCTAATTGAAGAATTTGCCTTTTAATAAGTTTAAAAAATTTTTGGGGGTAAGTTTTTGCACAAATGTGACAGGTATGTCAAACCGTTATGTGCTTGGGCTCTGCATAGCCTATACCACCTCTCTCAGAATGGATATAAAGAGCCAAAAATTCTACCTGGTCCTAAAAAAAGTTTATGTTCAAATTTGACTTTTTGTAGTTTTTAAGTCTTTAGAACAAACTTATGTCATGCTTTATCATTTAGTTAAAAATTAGAAGAACATTATCTAGTTTAGCCTACTCAAAAAAAAAAAAAAAACATGAAAACACATCAGTCTGTATGATTTTATTTATATAAATGAAATGTTGATGCCATGGTTTTTGTGTATTAATGTTTAATCCATAGTTTTGATCACAAATGATTGCCTAAAATCAAGAAGTTCCAATTAATAAAACGTTTTATCTCAATAGGCCTTATGTAGAGGTCGCCTTTATTTTCTCATCAACCTGAAGTAAAGTTTCAGCCAGCAGCCTAAGTAAGTTACGTTTCCTTTCTGACTTGTAGGCTATATGTTTAGACCTGTGACCTAGCATACGCACGCTTTTATTTAGAAAGGTATAAAACCGGAAAAGGAAAGAATAACTCAAACTTTGCTTTTTAAGGCTTCATGAATCTAACTCACCGTGTTGTTCGGCTCAGTCTTCACCCTAAAGTTAAACTTTTATATATAAACGTTACTTTTTACTCACCTGTGTGACGTCAACGGCTGGAAACAGCTGTTGTTTAACAAAATCAGCTGATTGTGGGTTTGTTTTTGAATTTTTGGGAGGAGCTGCAGTCCGATGCAGGCAGGTGATGGATGTCGGCGGGGTAAAAGGTAAGAGAGATAAGAGGTTGATTTATTCAGTTTTAGTAGATTTTAATACAGTAAAAGTCTAAAACCAGAACTACTACTACTAATAATTATAATAATGATGATGATGATGATATAAATCAAATTAATTGGTTTGTTACACCAATTCAAATTCAACCAAAGTATCATATCGTTGAACAGCTTCAGTTTGGAGAAACAGAGATTAGTTCTAATCAGGTTAGTCTGACTGAGGTCAGCAACTAAATGTTTAATAAATCAGTTAATGCAAATGTCCTTTAAGATTTCTCCAAACTTATCTATGCAGTTAATATTTAGTAGCCTGGCAAGCCGATATATATATATATATATATATATATGAATATATAGTCTGGCTATGGCCCATTGGCTATCAGTTGTGGTGCGGAATCTATGGTAGTCTTTCAAACGGTCTTCACATGCTATTGGACAACAAACAGCGTGACGTACTCATTGCTACGGATGCCGGTCAGCGCTCTTGAAGAAGATGCAAATGCATCCTTTTTCTAAATAAACTTAAGTACCTTTATCTGCTCCTGACTCAAAGAACAGTCCAAGTCTAAAAAGTTCAATGTTGATGCCAAACAAGCCAGTGCTATCATAGCTGTTCCACTCTGTTGCATCATCCCGCCCACCAAACCGATAGAGCGCTGTGATTTCCACAACACAAGACTGGATGCAATCTCTTTATATTTTTTATTTAACTAAATAATCTTTCATAATAACCATCAAATAAGGAATCATGTAGGTTATAAAATAGCATTTGCACGAACCTTCATAAGTGGTTTTATGACATTTTCTTTTTTGTCCCATAGTTACTGTATTTCTGAGCTTGGCTGATTATCAGAACCAATCACCATGTCTCTAAACTGAGGTTGTTCAAATAGCTTTCGAAACAGATAAAAGAGTAATTATTCAAAATAATTTGTTTTGCGAGATCTGAATAAGTGTTTTAACCCACAGGTTGACGGAACTAATTTTAGTCCCTTTTTCTTATTAAAGCATGAACCGAATGCAACTGGGGAAAAAATACTATTGTAAAAAAATTCTAAACAATATGTCAATGTAACAATTAATTAATTACCAGCATTATCTCACATAATTGATACATTAAAATAATAATTACAAAAATATTGTTACATTTTATGCCCAGAGGTGAAAAAACACAAACAAAATTCTAACCTTTTATTTCTTTTGTTGAAGTTAAAGAGCTAAGTCTTGAGATGTGTCATGATAGTATACTTTTTGGTTTATCCAAGTCATATAGTCTGGATTTATGGACCCTCTAAAGAAACATTTAGTCCAGATTTGATGCAAAAATGTGAAACAGGTGAATCCTCCTCACAGCCATAAAAAGGCTCAGTTAGGTGACTTGCTGATTCTTGGAGGAATGTGGTTCAGCTGTTGTTGGAAAACTAGAAAAACGTTGTTCAGGTGAAAAAGATTAAAACTCACTTTTCCTCCAACAACAAAAATACTGAATTTCTGGTTTGGCTTGAGTTTCTTATGTCCAAAGTGAAATAAATTATATAATTTATTTGCATTTCTCCTTATTTATTCTGCATTAGAGCCTCCATATTTGACATAATCTGTGACGTAAGTTATTTGAAGATCTCTTTCGGACACAGATTTTAGGGTTTTTAGTTAATTAAGCTGAAAAACGAGTCCAGAAACCAATGTTCTCCATCTCAGATTTTCCTTATTTGTCAAATATTTCAAACACAATCAAGTCTGGAGCTTCAATTGAATGATTGTTTTTTATTTTTATTGAATGCTATTTTTAAGCTGTAAAAGTTGCTATTAAAAATAGCCTTCAATCCCTAGTGACATAATTAATCACTTGCTCTCATAGACTGTACATACTTGCTCTGTAAAAGCTCCACTCTGATGGTTAAAATCCCTGAAACTGACCGTAAAAACATATTCAGGTGAGGATTATTGCTCCTGCAGGCTACATGATCCTGCATGTTGTGGACTTTTGATGAGACCTTGCTTCTGTTAGAGTCAGATGTGCTGGAGCAGAGGAACGTCTATGACATGCACGACTGTGCGTCCTGTAGGATCAGATTTCAGTTGCTCTGAAGTTCTAACAACACAAACGTGTGTTTGAGTCGGAGCATTCAGCAGCAGGGTGGGATGATTTGTACAACTCTCAGGAATGAATGAGTCACACACTTAAACACAAAGAGGGAAGGAGGCGGTTACACAGCTTGCATCAGATAGATCACTTTCCTGTCCCCCCCCCAAAAAACCCACACATGTGTCTTCTGGAAAATCAACACATCCTTCAGATCTGTTGTCTGTTTACCTGCAGTGATCGCTAACCAGGGCAGAAATTCAAAAGGTTTAACGCCTGTTTCTAATTTTCCTGCCAGCAGCAGGAGGCCAGGATACTAAAATAGACCCAGTTATTGTTTGTTGCTCTGATCAAACACACTTGTCTTAAAGCAGGAGATGTGATGCAGCTGTGTATTATTAAGACTTATTGATCCAACACACACACACACACGCACGCACGCACGCACGCACGCACACACACACACACACAAATGCTGAAGGAGGTCAAACAAGGGTAGCAGAGCAGGACCATTATCACTAACTTGCCCCAGTGTCTGCAGTTTGATCCATTTTTGGTGAACTGGGAGGAATTTTCCTCCATCTTGATTTGTGATTATATCTTCACGTCTTAATTTTCTCTGTAATATTAAAAACAAAATCAGAGTTCATTTTTTGCAGAATGAGTGTAACTTTATTAAATTTATCACTTTATTTGCCTCTTTTACTTTTCACTTCTTTGTATGCGAAGGATGTTCTGATCAGATCTGACCACATGGGGGCGCTCTTCTCAAAACTAAACTTCATCTGCTTCCTCTCTGCAGAGACAACTTTTTTTTTCATAGTCTAACGCTTGAATCTGAACCCTTAAAAATGTATCCCTCATTTTCTTCTTGTTGCAGGTGGAAGCTGCAGAGGAAATCATCCTCTCTCCTCTCTAGTGATGGCTGGTCTCTCAGAGGGGTAAGAACATGTTCCACCGATTTATGGATGGGATGGGGTGGGGTAATCCCAACATTTCACCTGTGACCCACCTGTATGATAATATACTTTAAAACAAGGATGGATGTGTAAAAATGTACACGACCTGTTGCTTCTGGATGCAGGAGGGATAGCCTGGTTTAAGATATTCATAATTTACTATAAAAAACTGTAGCCTACAGCCTCTATATATGTCAATGATCTGAACTCATGGCTGAAAGTTATTCCTGCAAATGCATCGTAATTTGTTTCAGTTTATTGTTGTAATGAAAGCAGAAAAAACAGACTCATTGCAGCCTCAGAAGTTACACGTTAAAAAAAATTTAGGAAGAAAGAAATATGTGAACGTACATAAAAACATTATGTCCTTATCCAGTTAATGTGCATTAATAAGAAATGAGAATAAAAAAATACCCTTAATGTAGTTTTCTGACTCTTCATCAGTTAAAATGTTATGTGTTATTTTTATAAATAGGAGTTATTATTTTCTAGTGTCACCGAGTCTCCTGGAGCTCCTAATAATAGACAATTGTCTCCCCACTCGATGGCTGTCGCTTCCTGTTTGTCCTGTGGGGAACACACACACACACACACACACACACACACACACACACACACACACAC